CCTAGGGAGAAGGTGACTTTTTATTGTAGGGTTGGGTATAGATTTTTTTTTCTTGGACCGTGTCGATCAAATTGTAATCAGGCTGATAGTGCTCATTTTGTGGATACCCATGTAATTTTTTAATGAAATTATCCTTTTGCATTGCTCCCTTGGTATTTGTTTAAGTTTCAAGTTTTTGTAATGTATACCAAGTGAATTGTGTGGGCGTTCTCACATTTTTAGCCAATTGTTGGTCCTAATCGAGGTTGGGCCTAGTGTATTCAGTGTGATGGTCTTTGGGCTAAATGGTAGAATAATTTATGTTTCGACCGTATCTAGGTAAATGGTCCCAGGAATGTTTACCAACTTCGATCTTTGACCGGATGCGACCTTGGGAGTGATCGACCTTCAATCTCGTTTAAGTGCACGAGCTTTAGAGGGACGGATATTGTCAGCTTGGATTGCTTTGCTTGGTAAGTTACTTTCAAGAGGGACTTTGTTCATGCTTGGCCGAGTGAGTTATACTCGGGAGGAGTTGTATATTCTTCTTGATCTAGTGGGTATACTTGGTAGGAAATTAGTTCAACCTTGGCCAAGTGTGGGTACTTGGGAGGGACTTCATTGTTCATCCTTGACCAAGTGGGTATACTCGGGAGGAACTTAATTTAACCCTGGTCAAGTGTGGGTACTTGGGAGGGAACTCGTTGCTCATCCTTGACCAAGTGGGTATACTCGGGAAGGAATTTAGTTCAACCTTGGCCAAGTATGGGTACTTGGGATGGAACTCGTTGCTTATCCTTGATCGAGTGGGTATACTCGGGAGGGAATTAGTTCAGCCTTGGCCAAGTGTGGGTACTTAGGAAGGAACTCGTTATTCATCCTTAACCGAGTAGGTATACTCGGGAGGGACTTAGCTCAACCTTGGCCAAGTGTAGGTACTTGGGAGGGAATTTGTTATTCATCCTTGATCGAGTGGGTATACTCGGGAGGGACTTAATTCAACCTTATCCAAGTGTGGGTACTTGGGAGAGAATTTGTTGTTCATCCTTGACCAATTGGGTATACTCGGGAGAGACTTAATTTAACCTCGGCCAAGTGTGGGTACTTGGGAGGGAATTCGTTGCTCATTCTTGACAGAGTGGGTATACTCAATAAGGAATTAGCTTTTCTTGGCTAAGTATGGACTTAAGAGAAGAACTTGGAGCGATTTTTGAAAAAATGACTTTCATTAATTTGGTGCCTCATTGAAAACCTCCCCGATAAAACCTCTTTTACATTTTCTTTTAAAAGGATAAAACTTGGGGTAGGAAAAGAGTGCACTCATAAATATAATGAAAAATTCAACTATAATAGTCTTTTAAGTGGAAAGTATTCCATATTTGCGGGACATTTTTTCTTGCGAGTTCTTCAAGTTTGTATGCTCCACTCTTTAAATTGTGTAACACCCGGAAAGGGCCCTCCCAATTGGGAGCTAGCTTGCCTTGCGCTCAATTCTTTCTTGCTTCTCCTGTAACCTTCTAGACCAAATCCCCTGGTTGAAATTCTCGTTGTCTAACCTTGGTTCTGAACTGCCTAGCTAGCCTTGTTCGGCATGCTTCCATGTTGATTAGAGTTTTGCCTCTTCCCTCGTCAATGAGATCCAGTTCCATGCTCAATGCTTCTTCATTTTTGTCCTTCTTGAATTATTATCATCTTAGTGAAGGTTCACCAACTTCAACGAGTATCATGGCATCTATTCCATATGTCAACCGAAAAGAGGTGTCTTTAGTAGAAGTTTGGGGTACACTTGTATGCCTACAAGATTTTCGGCAAGTGTTCTAGCCAACTACCTTTGGCTTGTCCTAGTCTTCTTTTTAATCCTTTTAAGATGACTTTATTTGCAGTTTTTCTTGTCCATTGCTTTGGGGATGCCCAACGAGTGTCATTCTGTGTTTAATATGTAAACCATCCAAGAATTTGTTAAAATACTGATCCATAAACTACAACCATTATTCGTGATTGTAGACCCCTAAAATTGTCCGGGTCGGAAAT